TTATACAGAATAAAGACCCTTTTGACGTCGTTCGGGTTGTCAATGGGTTCTCTATCATTAATTGATAGATGTCCTTACACCATTGAGTATATCCATAATTGTATAATAATGATCTCTTTGACACCCCATGCTAAATTTTCTCCGTAGGATTGGCTTTCACATACCGATGTTTACCGGACTTAGCATAATGTTCATTTCGACATTAGGTGAGTACGTTATCAATGATGCTTGTTATGTTAGAGTATTCTTCTTCCAATATATTGGAGGGATTCCTACCTGATCAACAGAATACATAGCTTAGTATTATTGCAAATATAAGTCTTCCTTTGCTATGTATAAACAGGACAGACTGATTACCGTATTTAATAAAAGAATTAATTTATACATTTTCTTTACGAATATTGAAGTGTATAATTCCAGTGATATATGCGGCCTAAATAGACAATATCAAGAAATGCCTATTTAGTTACATATTTTTTCTTGCATTTCAAAATCTGTATCGTCGCACCACCGTAATGAGGTCATTATTCGAGGAAAATCAGAGTCAAATTTAAACTATAAGCTGGCCAATTATTGTAAAGTGTCATCGGCACATAATTACGGTTGAAACAAATGCACTCTTTATTTTACTCTTAACATCAGTATTTGCCTTCGGCGAAAGCTATGGCGTGTTATTGACAGCTAGGATGGTACAAGGAATTGGATCGTCGGCTTCGACTGTCTCAGGTAAATACATTTTGAAGGCTGGAATTTTTCATTAAATTTAATTGATATACGGTACTGTATTATATATAAAGCTTACAAAATGTGTATCTTAATATTACTCGCCTACACAGTTTTAATTTAAATCTGAAATTAAAATCCAATCTCTTTCATTCTAAAAAATTCTAAACATTTATTGTCTGCTTCATTAATTAAATGTTGATTAATTGACATTGAAAATATTCCAGATGAAGGGAATAAGAAATATTATATTTTCTCTATCTGTGGCGTATCCAGAATTTTGGGAAAAAAAAAGTGTGGGGAAGGTGGGGTGCTGTAGGCCTATACAAAATATAAACCGTATTTATTTGAATACACGCCCCTTTGTGAATAAATGCCCCGTCGAATAAATGCCGTACTAAATGACTGTAAACAAATCTAATGGAAGCAACATCATTCTGAACACATTCTATTGGAGTTCTATCAAGTAGAATTACATGTTTCTAATAGTCCAGTCCGAAATATAGCAATATCAGAGGTTGCATTTTTTTTGCTATATTTTTTAAAAATTGGATATGATGTAGAGTACACATTGATAAATCAAAAAAGTATGTGCAACATTTTTTTTTTCATACGTAAGAGGGGTTGCCAGCAGTTTCAAAATGGCCGCAATTTTTCCCTAAAATGTTCACTAATACTGTAAGTTTATGTCATTAAAATGCAATATTCAATTGGAAATTCACTCATAACAATGACAACAACAGTTAACTAAATATTGTACACATTTTTGAGCTATTACAATTTTAAATGGCTGCCATTTTCCATTATTTTAGCTCTTTAGCATACATATTAATATAACAATAACCGATCTGTACTGTAAAACGAAAACGT